TGAATGCGCTGTTCGGCCACCATCCAAAAGAGTTGCAGCAAATCAAGAAGATGCGATTGCCAGTGCAATATTATTTTGTGACCTTATGGATGCCAAAATAAACGAAATGAGAAAGGTCTTGCCTTTGCCTCCGGGTGCATCTATGAAATACAATCCTCCGTGTTGTCTTGTAATAGCATGCATAATTGTGTCATATGCTATACGTTGTTCTGGAACCAATTTTAGAAGATTCGTTTGAACAAATGTACCTAATTAAGTGACATTAAAGTGTGTCTCTTGTTGCAACTCACGATCAAAAAGGTTGTTTGCAGATTGTTCTGGTGGAGCCAGTCCCAGCTGAACCAGTGCTTTATTAGTTATTGCCAAACATATGTCCTCAATGCAAACCAATGCCTCATTATATACATTTGGTGTGAATTGAAGGTCCTTATCTTGCTCCGTTTCACGCAAGCGATGTAGAATGTCTTCACTCATGTAGTCTTTGTATTTTTTCCCAAAGCTCTTTTGGATTGGATGGAAAGCAAGTTGTTAATATTATTGCAAATAATTTGCTTATTTGCTGTGGTCGAGTAGTATTCGAAGCATCAGCGATGAAGTGTCCCAATGTGCATCATTTTCAAGAAGATTTAATTCTTGGCAACCTTCTCGGTAAGTAGCACAGACTTTACCATAAACCTGCACACAAAAACATGCACATACTGACTAATGTTACTGAAATAAATGCTCTTACCTTTTTTAGAAATTTCTAGATAACACAACTAAAAACCGCTGGCAATTGTTTTCTTTGTAATAATGTTGCGGGCGGATGTTGATGATGGTGCGCCATGATTGCGCATGACGGGTAAATCGATCGCACATGCGCATTAAGTAACGTGGCTATAATTAGATGTCACTAAAAATTTAAATATTAGTTTCGAATATTTTTTCTTAAATTGTCGCAAACTTTCTCTAACAATGGCAGGTTGAATTTCAAACCATGATGGGTGAACATCCGGTATCAAAACAAACATATTCTGAAAATTTCAGCTAAATCAGTTCATTAGTTTCCGAGTCTATAGCTCATAAACAAACACACAAACATTGATTTTTATATATATAGATCAGCTTCATGCTTGCAGGTGGACTGAGTACAAGGAGCTGGACCTATACTTTATAGAGCAATCAGCTTCATGCTTGCAGGTGTATTGAGTACAAGGAGCTGGACCTATACTTTATAGAGCAATCAACTTCATGCTTGCAGGTGAATTGAGTACAAGGAGCTGGACCTATACTTTATAGAGCAATCAACTTCATGCTTGCAGGTGAATTGAGTACAAGGAGCTGGACCTATACTTTATAGAGCAATCAGCTTCATGCTTGCAGGTGTATTGAGTACAAGGAGCTGGACCTATACTTTATAGAGCAATCCGCTTCATGCTGGCAGGTGTATTGAGTACAAGGAGCTGGACCTATACTTTATAGAGCCATCAGCTTCATGCTGGCAGGTGTATTGAGTACAAGGAGCTGGACTTATACTTTATAGAGCTATCAGCTTCATGCTTGCAGGTGGACTGAGTACAAAGAGCTGGACCTATACTTTATAGAGCCATCCAGCTTCATGCTTGCAGGTGTATTAAGTACAAGGAGCTTGACCTATACTTTATAGAGCAATCCGCTTCATGCTTGCAGGTGTATTGAGTACAAGGAGCTGGACCTATACTTTATAGAGCAATCAGCTTCAGGCTTGCAGGTGTATCAAGTACAAGGAGCTGGACCTATACTTTATAGAGCTATCAGCTTCATGCTTGCAGGTGGACTGAGTACAAAGAGCTGGACCTATATTTTATAGAGCCATCCAGCTTCATGCTTGCAGGTGTATTAAGTACAAGGAGCTTGACCTATACTTTATAGAGCAATCCGCTTCATGCTTGCAGGTGTATTGAGTACAAGGAGCTGGACCTATACTTTATAGAGCAATCAGCTTCAGGCTTGCAGGTGTATCAAGTACAAGGAGCTGGACCTATACTTTATAGAGCAATCAGCTTCATGCTTGCAGGTGTGTGTGGTCAACATCAAAGGTGTATATCCAGGGCTTTTACCTGGTTCCCATTTTAGGCTTGGTTGACCTGAGAGTTAAGCTCATCTTTTAAAGAAGAAAAATGGACTAAACGCAGATGTGAACCTACAATCTTCAAGCCTGAGCCGAGCATCTAGCTGCCCCACCACGGCAGCTTATACATTTTTAAAACACTATTATTGTTTGTTTCAATAACCGTCAACAGACAAAACAAAATAAACTTACAGTCAGACAGCTCTGACATTAAATCAAACAGTCATAAAAAAGATTAAGGTCTGTACCTGTAAAACTCCTCCCTATCTCTTTCATCCAACTCAGAGGAGATATAGGCCAATGTTCTCTCTATTTTTGGAATGATGACTGAAAAACAAAGTACTGGTATTATATCAAGCGGACAGAATAGTCATGTTTTAATAATCAAGAACAATATAATGTTTGGATGTTGAATTAAGAATCAACATCACAGCACTGGGGACACTCCCATAAGCGCTCCGTCCCCCACCTTCAGCAGCAAGTGAAGAGTTCCAATTCTGAAGGCACCAGCAACTGTCTGATTTTTTATGCAATTTGTACTTAAAATAATGTTTGTAGACTAAATAACTTTGCAAACATAAAACGTCATAGTGGTTTAAGAAAAGCAATGGTGGAAGTAACAGTTCACATCTAAATGACAGTAGGCGCAGAACATAAACTGCTTTTTTAGCAAAAGACTACATGGCATGGGGGGGGGGGGGGGGGGAGGAGGGTTGTACAGACAGGAAATGATAACAGTACTGTACTGTAGATGTATAAAACACGCAGCAAATCTTTGTAGCACTAAAGTTTAAAAACTAACCCTAACATGAAACTCCAAGGGGCTGTTGAGGTGCTGAATCACATGTGTTCGTGCACCAGGACATGGACTCATACAAGCCGGGACCAGACAAATCTACACTTCTCTACTGTCATCCTAGACACAGGTCCCTAACGGTAACCTAGCCAACACTGGATCAGCATTTCATTCAAAGTCAGAGAGCACCCGCCTGAGAGGCAAGCAACCAATAGTCTGCAACCACATAAGCTAGGTCTGTAAAACAGATGAGCATGCGAAACTTGAGACCTGGAACAAGGCCAAAATCCAGAAGTGATTCTTTTCCCGGCAAAGCTTCAATCCGAGCCTAAATGAAGACGCTACAGGAAACTTACCATGCTCTATAGCATTGACTCTCCGATTGGTTATCTTAATAACTTCGTCCAGGGTGATGAAAGATGTCTGCAGCGATGCCAACTCCACTAGCAGAATGATTGCCCGTCCATAGCTCTTCTTGGCTTTGTCAATCTGCTGTCCTCCTCTAGCCAGACCTGTCAGCTCGTACGCTGCAGGAGCAAAGGTCAAAGGTTTTAAGAAACACAACACAAACTTAGCTATTTTCTAACACTCTTCCTCTATCCCAGGTATGCACAGACAAAAAAGTCCCCCCACCCCCCACCCCTCCAGTTTACCCATCTTTACTTTTTTGCCACCATCAAAAACATAAAGAATTGTTTAAAAAAATGAATTACAACCTTTCCACTAGTGTAACCAGGGAAGGATTTTTCATTTTTAAAAACATGGTGATAGTACTCACCATAAAGTGTCTAAAAGATAACATCATCAACCACAAATTATTTATTAGAATAATATAAAAATAGCGCCCAAACAAAAGGTGCTGGTCTCACATACACCACAAGACACAAAGCCATGAGTTTAACTCAATTATTCCTTCTCTACTCCAAATGTGAAAGCAGAAAAAAAATGTAAAGTATTAGACCTTAATATATGCTATGACATAACCAAAAAATAACAGTCTAACATTTCTTGGTTCCGCCTCCACAACTGAGGTCAGATGCAGTAGATTCGATGCTGTCTTTGGGAATATTATGTGGAGAAACCCCAGTCTCTTCCTCAGTGCAACCGTACACTACTGCCACACAAAATATGAGAATAGTGTTTCGCCTGGCACTGAAACTGAACCCCTGGACACTGAGAATAGAAAAATATGCTCAAAGACACACAATGCAATTATAAATAAGTTGACTCCAAAAACAAAAAGGTCCAAGAGGACAGCAGAAACATTCATTTCTAACACAAGCAACCAATTATGAATATGATGATGAAAAAACAAAACTTACTATCGCCTCCGTCTTGGTAAGACTCAAATATTGGCAACGTGACACCTGAAAGTTGATTAAAAGACACACATAATTATTTCAAATGTTAAAATTACACTGAAAACATAAACACCCACTTAATTACTATAAAGATAATCATCCTTGCCTAAAATAATCTGGCTGCAACTAAAGTAAACAAACAGCATTTAGTAGCAAGATTATCCTGGAACTGGGACAGCATCTCCGTTGTCTTTAATAAACGGTTGTCAAAATGGCAGACATATCTAACATCTTAGTTGTCTTTTAACTCTTCTTCCACATATTTTTTGCCCTGCTTCAATTCACCTAGTAACTGTTCTATTTATTACTTGTGGTGTTGAAAGAAACAGAGAGTTATTAAATAATGACTTATACAATAAAAACAATGTGGAGTATAGGTTTTGTTTGGTACCATGTGAGGCGAAGTCATCAACAAGCAGGAAAGAGCATACAGAAAACCCAAGTATGGGAATAGAGGTAGAGGCTACCACTATAGCACTGACATGACTCTTCAGTACCCCACTTACAAAAGTGATTAGTCTTGGACTCTTAGGTCCGACTCTGACATGTTCAGGACTGATGGCTGCGGTACGAGCACTTGACCCTGGTTGATGCCCAAAAACTTTCAGAACATGTTTGGGTCTATTGGTCAGATTTTTTAAATGCGTGTGTGGAAACAAGAAAGCTGACATGCTAGTTATGAATGTTATCTTGGTACACTGACAGGGGATATAAAGCAGACAATAAACAACAGTTCAGTGCCTGGTCAGACAATCAGCATCCACACTTCCACTTCTGCTGAGAAAAAATGAATATTTGTTTGCTAGTTCTGAGTGCTGCACTGCTGGCAATTCTCAATCATTAATGGCAAAGACAGCCTCGTGGCAGTTACACCCACTGGGGATGGGAAGCGCTGGCTTTCATATGTTTGTCCACTTTCCAACTTTAGTCTTGTTCCAGAACTTGAGTTTTGAATGCACATCCATTTTACAGATCTGGCTTATGTGCATGCAGACTGTTAGTTCCTCACCTCTTGGGCAGATTAATTCTAAAGAAAAAACCTGTATTAGTTGTCTTTACGACTTACTTTTTTTTTGGGGAAGGGGGGGGGGGGGGGGGGAATTCTTTTCCCCCAAAAAATGGGCCACAGGAACCGACATGTGGAAGTTTGTATGCAAGATCTCCTCTAGTTGAGCTTGCAAACTAAATCTGGCCCACACTGTTCTAGCAAGTGGTTCATGGCACACCTGCCAACTGTTTTACATTTTCCAACATTTTCGCCTCAGAGTAAACGTCACTGATTGGTCCTGTTCTAGGGCCATAGGTGAAGACCCCAGGCAGTGCCCGGCTGCGATAAAAAGTTCAGGTAAACAAACAAGCCTCACCAACAACATTCTCTTTCTTGCTTTTGACTTTCACTGCCGCCTTGGTGACATTCTGTAGAATTAGGTGGCTGATGTCTCCACAAGTGAACTTGGCTTCTGCCAAAGAAAACTGAGCTGACTTCATCACCTCCCCAACTTCTTGCTTTGTCTAAGATATAAAAAAATGTGGATTTTAATTTGTTAATATCAACACAACGAAGCACGTTAACGTAGTGGTTATGACATCTGCCTAACACAGGGAAGATAGAACAAACCAACTCTATTTTCAAAGGGTGACAAATTGGGCACGCAGTCCCGTCTTATATTCGGCCCTTCCAAACCCTCATCCCTCACACAGCAGTTGTATTTTATCAATAAAGCATGTTATGTTCACATAATAAAACTATGCGCATATTATGAATATCATGCAAACCCACCCACTCACAAATATGCACCCACATACATTGATCCTCGATTCAAGCCACAGGAAAGAAAATGAAGAAATCTCAATGCTGTATAGACTAGACTGGTGGATAATGATAATAGCATGATCTGAGAGTAAAGCATCTCACAGCACACGGCTGGATGCCCAATGTGCAGTGACTGACGGGGGTAATATAACTTAACAAGCTGGACCCATTGTGGAAACTTGTAGCTACTAGGAACTTCTAACATAATGTTTATGGCTCGTCTGCCAACAGGTAAGAAGAGCAATACCTGCTGTAACAAAAAATATAGAACCTGAGATTCACATAAGGTTTTCTTCACTTCCTATTTAACCACTCTGAGGATCAAGGGAGATACAGCACTGAGGATCGAGACAGATACAGCACTCTGAGGATCGAGAGATACAGCACTCTGAGGATTGAGGAAGATACAGCACTCTGAGGATTGAGGAAGATACAGCACTCTGAGGATTGAGAGATACAGCACTCTGAGGATCGAGAGATACAGCACTCTGAGGATAGAGAGATATAGCACTCTGAGGATCGAGAGATACAGCACTCTGAGGTTCGAGAGATACAGCACTCTGACTTTCTTCCAGCAGGCTCAGCAGAGGTGAAATGGTCAAACCAAGGCCATGGGTTCATTCACAGCTGTGTCGTTTAGCTCATGGGTGCAATTATTATTAAGAAGATTTCGGTGGGTCGTCACTGGAGCCACAGTGCTTGTGCTACACCACAGGCAGGCAGCCAGCCTGACAGACTGAGCCATGTGGGATTTAAAAAAAACCTGTGCAATAAAGTCAATCCTCCTGACTTTAACTGTCACTTCCTAATGGCCTAAATTTTGACATTACATTATCATTTTGTGCTTGGAGAACCTTAGTCCCAGTGTCCTACTACTCCTTCAGTATGTGCCTGTATGGCAGGACATCAAAATGTACTCTCTCTCTCTCTGACAACCCTTCTATTTGCTGTCTTTGGTAGACAAGTTAAAAATCATAAATGAGTAAAGTAGTTTCAGTTTCATTTTCAAAACAGATGTCCATAGATGCCAGAATACCCAACAGCTTACTTGCAAATGGATCTTCTACTTTTTTCTTGTTCATCGAAGAAACTGGTAAGGAACAGCCTTAGAGGCTCTCTGACAGACTATGACGAGAGTAAAGTTATGAAGAAGAGCTGCTATATGATGATAAAACTATGCAATTGCCTTATAAAAAACACAAGGTACTTTACATGCCAAAAGAAAGACAAAACATGAATGAATTAAAATGAAATCTAAGCAACGCACATCGATGATTTTCTTCAAGATGGACCTGAATCGCATAGTCAGGGCATCAGCTTTCTTCTTCAGCAAACTGTGACCTTTCTGAGCTCCCTTCAGTCTGGCCTTGATGATGGCCAAGGCCCTGCAGATACAAATACATTACATTTCAAGTCCCACATGGAGGATAGGTTACCACAATAAATAAAAATGAGTACATTTTGAAAGAGGCATATTTGCATGCAACACATACTTGGCTTCAGAATTTATGAGAGTTGCATGCAAAAGAGTGGAGTGGATGAACCATACGCAGACCCTATGTGACATCTAAATAATTTATTATCCTTAGGTGTGAGAAGCTGGCCCATTTGTACTTTCTACAGGTAGTATTTTGTGTAGCTGTAAGGTTACCAATTATAACTGTCTTAGAAGATTAAACAAGGTATATGTTCTTGTTTTACTGACTTTTAAGTCACTGCGATGTCAAACTTTCAGGCAGCAGTTGAGAAAGGGAGACAAGTCAGATATGCACATAGTCAGTCACAGTCTTCTGGTCTGGTAACATACAGACTGCAGTTTACGAATGTTTGCAGCTTAGTAACTGTTTTTGCTATTGTCTGCACTGTCTTTATTAAGTGGTATTTACCCCTTTGTAGTTAATTTAAAACTCTTTCAGTGCCTATGAACTCATGCATCTCTTGGTTACTCCAGGCAGGATACGTTTGTCTTAACCTCTCCCTCATGCCTCACCACTTGGTTACTCCAGGCAGGATGTGTTTGGTCTTAACCTCTCCCCCATGCCTCACCACTTGGTTACTCCAGGCAGGATGTGTTTGGTCTTAACCTCACCCCCATGCCTCACCACTTGGTTACTCCAGGCAGGATGTGTTTGGTCTTAACCTCACCCCCATGCCTCACCACTTGGTTACTCCAGGCAGGATGTGTTTGGTCTTAACCTCTCCCCCATGCCTCACCACTTGGTTACTCCAGGCAGGATGTATTTAGTCTTAACCTCACCCCCATGCCTTACCACTTGGTTACTCCAGAAAAGGACATCAGAACTTAAAAACATACAGTTAAAACTTTGACACCTAGAACAAATTAAATTACAACTCCCTGCGAATGAAAAAAAAAAATAATGATAAAATGTGCTGTACAAATAACTGGGTCATTGTCTGGAATCTACATGGTAAAAGTAAAAACAATGAGCAGGATAACTAGACGTGAATTAGTTAATTATCTATCTACTGGGCAGGGGGAGATAAATGGCTGAAAATCTTCTTCTTCTGCGTTTATCCGAAAATTTAATTGCGCTGTGTCCGTTACTGCATGGCTGCGATATTTGCACATTTCGGCCAACACATCCGACTGCTGAGGGCATTTGTTGACTGGGTTAGCCTTCCCCCAAATGGCTGAAGATGTTAAATTAAGACTCCCCTCGACACATCCCAAAATGCTGATAGTCAACAGTCTCCATTTGATAAAATAAACATAAAGCATTAATTTTTTTTCCTGGTCAACACAAGCTATCATAGACATAGCCGTGAATTGTAATTAAAACAGAAAGGAGTAATATATATGAATAATCAGAGATCATTTTGAACAGGCTGCATAAGAAGACAACAGATAAGATGACATAGAAGTTCTTAGTTTAGGGCTTGGCTTATGTATGCTCATACTGGAGCAGAAGGGACAAGTCAGACAAAGTATGAATCGGCTGGTATAGGAGTTGAGAAAATTGCATAACATGTGCAGGAACCAGTGCACCTTCAGTGAGATGCTTGGGACTGGATCATTGAAAAAGAAGAATCGAATTGTGATTGTGTTCTAACACTTCCGAAGATAACTCAAAAATCCTTGAGTCAACCTTCACAAGTGCATGTTAAAATGACATTAACATATAACAAATATACACATTAGTATAACCTTAGACATGACAAAAGAATGACAAGGAGTCAGCAGAATGTAATACATTTTAACATATATTATAAAATATATGTTATAAAATTAAATAGTTCAACGATCTAGCAAATGTATCAAGTATCATCAATGTAGATTAAGTAGAAAACACACTTTAAAATAAGTTCTAAAAAACACGTAAGACAAGTCCGTAAGAATTTTCTCCATGACTTTCAAATTATACTGATAAAGTAAACATATTTCAATGCATAATATAAATTTTGTAAATGAAACGCAATCAGATTCATTCAAAGCTGCAAACAGCTGACCCTGCCCTCCAAACTCCAAGAGAGTAGTCAGTTCTGATCTGCTGGACTGGATCGATCAGTGAAGGGAAGGTTAGGAGGTTTCCCGTTGGCGTAAAAGTAACTTGTTTTTCTGTTACACAGTATAAAGACATAATGCACATTAACAATATACAACTCACTAAACCACTTCCTAAAAACCATCACTAGCAGACGGTGACAGAGGTACTTACATACGAGAGGGGAAAACATTGAGCCTATCTTTGTCAGACATTTTGATCAGTCATGTGATGGCGAATGACTTCCCATGGCGGAAGTTGATTTGATCAGCTTCCGGTATGCTGGAGAGCTCTTATTTTAGGAAGCGGAAATTAGAGTTGTCATAGCTACCAAAGCTTGAATAAAACCATTTAAATCTAGTGATAAGTATTTCTTCATTCCATCGAGCACAAAAGGCAGACAAGTAAATACATTTTATTCTTTGTTTTAGAATATATAGCACGTGAAGAAGAAAAGTTGCCTTGCCTTTGCTGCTTTTATCTCCTCATCTTTCTTTTTCCGTGTCAGTATTGCAGTGGTATTGTATTGTATTGTTTACATGGTTACATCACGGTTTATAATTTCTGATTAATTTGTCTTGACCCACAGTGTCTCTCAAGTTCATGTATTTTTTAATATCTAGTCTCTTTCAATAATTCATAGGTCATAATCATTAAATTTAACAGTTTCTTTGCTGAAAGTCTTTTCTATCCCATCCTACAGTCTGTATTCTATATGTGTTTTCATGATAAGTGTGAAATAGCTCCTGTTCACATTCGTGGTCAATCCCTGTCTGTTCTTCAAATACTGTACTTTCTTTGAAAAAAAATAAAAATAAACTCTTAAAGATGACCTAATTATTTCAGTTTCCGAGACATCTAACTTACTTAACTTTTTTAGTACCAGAGTAAAGTTAAGTTAATTATAAATCACTGGATGATGTTTTATTTTTTAAGCAAAGAATCTGCAGAATCGTATAAGTGTGCACAGACTCAGTAACTTGGGCAAGGATTCAAATGTGTGGGTGTGTATTTCAGAATTACGATGCATAAACTCAGCTTCACTCAAGTTTCAAACCAGCCACTTAAACCAACACCAGTGTGCACTGCACACCCTGTGTTATCAGAAGATTATTGTTTTGATAATAGTTATTATTCTGATTGGCTTACAATAACATTCTAAGAAAGTTTACTTCAAGTTCAAAAAAGAGATAATTGTTGACAACTTCCTCCGTTATAAGTCTGCAGTAATTATATGGTTGCATATTTTGCTGTCTTGAGCATTTGTGCATGCATAGGTGGGTGCATATATACACGCATGTACTTGTTTATGTGCGTGCGGGTGCATGATATCATCTTTGCCTGCTGCTTCGTATTTTACTAAGGGAATTAATTATCTTTTTATTTTCTATACAAGGCATCTGTCCTACATTTATTGATAATGTGGTCATTCTTGCTTCTTCATCCAAATACAATGGTTCTGTTGAGCTAAATCAATTTAGAAATGTTCAGCTCATTAAAGCAATGTTTCCCTATTGTAAATTTGAACAAAGAAGACACAAACAGTAGACTGAATAATTTATTGACTGGCATTGAATTCATTTGCAACCAGAAAGACACAGTAGTGAACCAGCACTTGCCATGGCAAAAGAGAAAGTTGCTTTTGAGAGTAGCTGAATGTATAAAGGATTCACTTATTTGCTTCATTTATGTGATTGTTACTGTAGTATGCACCTGACGAGATCCAGCAAAATATGCCAGGCAATACATTGTGCAATCTATTGTTTGTGTCTTCCTTGTTCAAATTTATTTGTGTGGTAATGATTTCTCTACATTCTTGTAGCATTCCAAGTCTGCCTTGTCTTTAGTTTCATTACCCTTTTCACTTACCATTACTGTGAAAATGACACCTTTTACTAGATTCATCGAGAAACAGCAGATCAAGTGGTTTGGCCATCTCGTTAGAATGCAGCAAGATCAAATACCATCACAAGCACTACATCTCAGAAGGTCAGCTACAAGAGCAAGAAGAGATCAACAACATTAAAGACACTCTACGTCTTCACGGCATGACAATAGCCAGTGGCAGCCAACATACACTGGAAGTGGTTTATGATGATGATGATGACTTACCATTTTCTAGTGATCATCTACATCTTTTTCTGTTGGAAGGAACACCTGTTGATTTGGTGCTTGATAGGTGGCACTGGCCTGTGTCGTTCCGTGTGGATGTAGAATATCTTTAATGTCATCAGTCCATTTTCTCCTTGTGCACACCACACTCTTGCTCTCACATTGGATCCTGTTGGGTGTAGCAGTTCTGGCTGCATTCTAACAAGATGATCCTGTTGGGTGTGGCAGTTCTGGCTGCATTCTAACAAGATGATCCTGTTGGGTGTGGCAGTTCTGGCTGCATTCTAACAAGATGATCCTGTTGGGTGTGGCAGTTCTGGCTGCATTCTAACAAGATGATCAGACCATTTGATATTCTGCTTATATTATATCGTCCTGGGAAAGTAAAGACAGCCGGCGTAATGCTGACCACATTACCCACAGAGTGCTGATGGTCTGTAAAAATATGGGACGCTCTGCCCAAATGCCCGATGCGCCGAAAGGCGTGAAAAGGGATGTTTACTTTACTTTTTACTATATTATATACTTGAGCTACCCCATGTGGGATCTTGTGCCCTTGTGGAGAAGAAAAGAATATACTAATTTTGTTCCAAACATGCACGTTGTACAAGGAGGCTAATTAGGGATGTTTCCTGTGAAGTCGTCGTGTGACTGACCTAGTTTTGGGGGGAAACGGAATAGACCCACTGCTTCTCTAAAAAAGCATGTTGTAAAAGATGATTTGAGGGATTTTTCTTCTGAAGTCAGAGCGCATCTTCTTGAAAGGCAAGTAACCAACAAGCTGGATACTAGTAGGCCAGATCTGTAATGTGGATGTGCTCACATAATTTAAGTTCTGAAACAGGACTAAGGTCCAGAGGTGGATGAAAAATCAGCACTTTCAGCCAGAGATTACAGCCCGTGAACACTAAGAAAAAGAAGATATAGTAATCACAGGTTAGGTTAGTTGCGTATCCTTTACAGGACGTTGCAGAACCAACCCCAACAGCCCCTGGCTGTTGTGTGGTTTTTCTAGGCAAATGTACTTCCAGTAGTTTGCCACTGCTTTCTGGATGGTCGGCTTTCTTGAAACCACTGTCGAAACCAACGCAAGGCACAGGGCTCACAGTTGGGATCTAACCCGGCATCCTGGCATTACGAAGCGTTCGCATCGACTTAGCCACAGAGCCGACAGATATAGTAATACTAATGAGTAATATTTGTTTTTAAAATGCAGCATGTCAGAAAATCCAGAAATAGCGGCAGCAGCTCCAGCTGCTGAGGGTGAGGACAAAAATGTTAAAGTTGATGGAGACGACAATCAAGGCAAACCAATGAAGACAGACTCTAAAACTTCCAGAGCAACTTCTGTAGATTCAGAAGATAGCCTAGCCAGTGACAAGAAGGAGGTAGAAGAGGTGTTCCAAGAAGAAATTATTCCAGAATTTAGACTTGGGGAATGGCGGAACATGAGAAGAATCATTGCAGAAGATCCAGACTGGACTCTAGCTACTGTTCCGGTGCTTAAAGATCTTGTAGTGAAGCATATTGCTGACAATTTTGAATGTGAGTACTTGATTAATCATATTCTCAAAATGTGAACATGTAATTACTAAGCAAAATACATTTTTTTTAAAATACAATACAAAAATTGTAACAGACAAACAAGCACACAAAAGCAAATTTAATAAAAACTTATAAAATAGGACCCTTTTCTTGCTGTTGGTACACTAGGTATAGATGTGTACGAGGGATTTCAGATTAAAGAAGAGACATGTGCGGCAGTGTTGGACTTAGAAGATGCCTACAATAAAGTACCATACGATTATTTAATGCAATTACTGCTTAAACTAGAAGTTAATCCTATTCTGATCCGCTAGATTGCTGCGGTCCTGTTCCAGAGAAAGATTGTACTAAGATGTGGTAGCTGGTCCTCCGAACCGCAAACGATATGTCCAGGCTTGCCACAGGGATCACCGCTATCACCAGTCTTATTCAACGTTTACACGGTGATGATTACTGAGCAGCAGTTGAATGGAAAGGGAAGGACTTTGTCATTTGCTGATGACATTTTGATTTATCGACGAGGGCGTGATAGACAGGAGATCGCCAGCACTATGCACAAAGAACTCGATCGAATTGCCGCCTGGTGTGATGGTTCCAATGCCTATGTCAATCCTTCGAAGGCATCAGTGTCATGGTTCTCTTTGAACAATCACATTGTCAAGTCGGACTTACCAGAAGTGAAAATGCGTGATAATGTATTGATCAGAACCAACGTTATGACGTTTCTCGGGGTGAGGTTCGATCGCAGCTTGTCATTCAGGAAACACGTTGACCATGTGATAACAAAAGCACGCAAAGGTCTATCTGCAATGAGGATTATGGCTGCTTCCAATATTGAGCAAAGACTACTAATACTTCTATTCTACGGTCTGGTCCTTTCTCCCATTGAATACGCTCTGGCCATCCTCACTGTCAGTGCTACCCAGATTAAACGACTAGAAAAGGTGCAAAATGAAGCCATGCGCATTATTTTGGGATGTACTAGAGACACATCCTGTGGAGCAATGAGGTATCTACTTGACTTTCCAACAATGAACCAAAGGATCAGGATGTGGAGGGCTCGGGCATATCTCAAAATATGCGCTGATAAGAAACACCCACTGCATCAAGCGCTTTTTAGTGAAAAGGGCGACAGACTGAAGAGGGGGAAATCGTGGCTAGGTCGGGCAGAAGATGTTATTAGGCAAATATGCAGCCTAACCGACATCATACCTGGTGCAGAATGGATACCTGTGCCTCAGGCGTTTATTTATACATTTTCCTGTATTGTCACACTCAACAGGCGATATAGAGAAGAGAATCCTGTTGCTGTTAATGCAGAGGTCAACGCTCTCATCGGTGAAAATTCAGACGAAGCAGATGCAATAATCTATACAGACGGATCCGTTATACGCCAAAGAAGAAGCGCATGGGCATTTACAGCACGCTCAGCGGGCAGAACAGTCAAAGAAGCCAACGGCGCCTTCTCCATGACAACCAGCAGCATGACGATGGAGGTGATGGCAGTGACACAAGCGCTTGCCTGGCTTGAAACACAAAAATACACCCGCGTGTGTATACTCAGTGATTCAATGAGTATGATCCGGAGGGTTCAGGCAGGTTCAGTGCGAAGACAATGGCTTGAATCATTACAGAAGTCCACTGTTCGTGGAGTCACCTTTATTTTTGTTCCGGGACACGCAGGCGTCAATGGAAATGAAAGAGCTGACAGGTTGGCTGGATCCGCTATCACTACCGACGGTCAGCCTATGGATCATGCTGATATTATCAATGCCCTCAGAGAAATGGGAAGAATAGAGGACTTTGGTGGCAGTGAATCCACATCACTCGCCAGAATGGCAGACTTGGGAATTAAGATCGGCACAGCAAAAAACGAGACGCACACCAGCTACGCCAGAAGACTTGTTAATCAACATAGAACTGGTACTATTAGCCATCGGACGTTGGGGTTCATACTGAGGGGAGGATCTGAGCACCTATGGACATGTCCGGAGTGCAATGAGGATAACCCAACTAACTAACTAACTAACTAACTAACTAACTAACTAACTAGGTATAGTTGCTAGACCCAGATTGTTTCAAATACCTTCTTCTTTTTTCTTCTTCACATGCACTGGCTGTTAACTCGGCGGAGAGTTCTGGGTGTTCATCCACCTCCAGACTTTACTCTTGTTCCATAACTCGATTATTACTTACACATCTATTTCACACATATAGCTTATTTGTATGTAGACTCATGGTTCCTTGCTTTTCAAGCCGACGTACCCTGATTTTGACGGACTCCCCAAATTAATTGACTTCCACAACATTCTTGTTGGGAAGGCAGGGCATCTATTCTTGTTTTCTCCACAGTGTGGCCCTGGAACCCACACGGGGAATATATCATGATGTCAAAACATTGCCATCTGTGAATCGCTTTAAACAACAGTGAGGAGATGGTAATTGCAGTGGTTTGGACATGTAAAAGGATATCTCATCTCTCCAGAATATGTTACAAGATTTAGGGCTGGGTCAAAAGTGAAGAGGCAAACAAAGAAAATCCTTATAACAAAATTTATTTGATTGAAAGGGCCACAAATGTTCAAACGTCAGTTTATTTACATCTGCCCAACATAGGTGGATAGATCTGGCTAACAAGAGGTGGAGAGATCTGCCTAACAGAGGTAGAGAGATCTGGCTAACAGAGGTGGAGAGATCTGGCTAACAGAGGTGGAGAGATCTGGCTAACAGAGGTGGAAAGATCTGGCTAACAGAGGTGGAGAGATCTGGCTAACAGAGGTGGAAAGATCTGGCTAACAGAGGTGGAGAGATCTGGCTAACATAACAGAGGTGGAGAGATCTGCCTAACAGAGGTGGAGAGATCTGGCTAACATAACAGAGGTGGAGAGATCTGCCTAACAGAGGTGGAGAGATCTGGCTAACAGAGGTGGAGAGATCTGGCTAACAGAGGTGGAGATATCTGCCTAACAGAGGTGGAGATATCTGCCTAACAGAGGTGGAGAGATCTGGCTAACAGAGGTGGAGAGATCTGGCTAACAGAGGTGGAGATATCTGCCTAACAGAGGTGGAGATATCTGCCTAACAGAGGTGGAGAGATCTGCCTAACAGAGGTGGAGAGATCTGATTGACAGAGGTGGAGAGATCTGCCTAACAGAGGGGGAGAGATCTGATTGACAGAGATGGAGAGATCTGGCTAACAGAGATGGAGAGATCTGCCTAACAGAGGTGGAGAGATCTGATTGACAGAAGTGGAGAGATCTGGCTAACAGAGGTGGAGGGATCTGATTGACAGAGGTGGAGGGATCTGATTGACAGAGGTGGAGAGATCTGGCTAACAGAGGCGGAGAGATCTGGCTAACAGAGGTGGAGGGATCTGGCTAACAGAGGTGGAGAGATCTGGCTAACAGAGGTAGAGAGATCTGGCTAACAGAGGTGGAGAGATCTGGCTAACAGAGGTGGAGAGATCTGGCTAACAGAGGTGGAGGGATCTGATTGACAGAGGTGGAGAGATCTGGCTAACAGAGGTGGAGGGATCTGGCTAACAGAGGTGGAGAGATCTGGCTAACAGAGGTGGAGAGATCTGGCTAACAGAGGTGGAGGGATCTGATTGACAGAGGTGGAGAGATCTGGCTAACAGAGGTGGAGAGATCTGGCTAACAAGATGTGGAGAGATCTGGCTAACAAGAGATGGAGAGATCTGACTGACAGAGGTGGAGGGATCTGACCAACAGAGATGGAGAGATCTGACTGACAGAGGTAGAGGGATCTGACCAACAGACATGGAGAGATCTGACCGACAAGAGGTGGAGGGATCTGACCAACAGAGATGGAGGGATCTGACCAACAGGAGGTGGAGGGATCTGACCGACAGGACAATCAACTGCAGCTGGTGACTTATTGTATTATGGACTACGGTGATTGTAATGATCATGTAATGGGTTATGTATGCAACATCGTGCCAACCACCTTTACTTCCCATGTTATCTCATTGTACTAATTTTAGGCTGAGTTTACTATCAAGACTGGGTTAATTACAACAATCAGCCCCAATTTGTATTTAAACATTTGGTCAGAGAATGTTAAAGAAATCTGGCTTCCCCATTGGTAATTTCCACCATGTGTTTAACCTCATTGAAAGATATGTGATTTTTCACATGGATATTTCCTCCTTAAGACACCTGTTGTGATATCTTGTAAGACGCAACGACAAAAAGAAATTTAAAGATATGAATGGTCATTTCTCTGTCTCTCTCATGCTGTCTCTCTTGACCTCTCTCTCATGTTGTTTGTCTTTTTCTCTCACTTTTGTGCTGTCTGGCTGTTTCACTCTCTCTCTGTTCCATGTTGTGTGTCTCTCTCATGCTGCCTCTCTCACTCTCATGCTGTCTCTCACACTGTCTCTCTCTCTCTCGCATACTGATACTCTGTCTCTCTCTCTCTCTCATGCTGTCTGTTCCTCTCTCGTGCTGTCTGTCTATCTGTCTCATGCTGTCTGTCTCTCTCTCTCTCTCTCTCTCTCTCATACTGTCTGTCTTTCTGTCTCATACTGTCTGTCTTTCTGTCTCATGCTGTCTGTCTCCCTCTCTCATACTGTCTGTCCCTCTCTCATGCTGTCTGTCCCTCTCTCATGCTGTCTGTTCCTCTCTCATGCTGTCTGTCTATCTGTCTCATGCTGTCTGTCTCTCTCTCTCTCATGCTGTCTGTCTTTCTGTCTCATACTGTCTGTCTTTCTGTCTCATGCTGTCTGTCTCCCTCTCTCATGCTGTCTGTTCCTCTCTCATGCTGTCTGTCCCTCTCTCATGTTGTCTGTCTCCCTCTCTCTCTCTCATGCTGTCCATTCCTCTCTCATGCTGTCTGTCTTTCTGTCTTATGCTGTCTGTCTTTCTCTCTCATGCTGTTTGTCCCTCTCTCATGCTGTCTGTCTGTCTCTCTCTCTCTCATGCTGTCTGTCCCTCTCTCATGCTGTCTGTCCCTCTATCATGCTGTCTGTCCCTCTCTCACGCTGTCTGTCTGTCTGTCTCTCTCATGCTGTCTGTCCCTCTCTCATGCTGTCCGTCTTTCTGTCTCATGCTGTCTGTCTCTCTCTCTCTCTCATGCTGTCTGTCCCTCTCTCATGCTGTCTGTCTTTCTGTCTCATGCTGTCTGTCTTTCTCACTCATGCTGTCTGTTCCTCTCTCATGCTGTCTGTCTTTCTGTCTCATGCTGTCTGTCTTTCTGTCTCATGCTGTCTGTTTCTCTCTCATGCTGTCTGTCCCTCTCTCATGCTGTCTGTCCCTCTCTCATGCTGTCTGTCTCTCTCTCATGCTGTCTGTCCCTCTCTCATGCTGTCTGTCTTTCTGTCTCATGCTGTCTGTCTCTCTCTCTCATGCTGTCTGTCCCTCTCTCATGCTGTCTGTTCCTCTCTCATGCTGTCTGTTCCCCTCTCATGCTGTCTGTTCCTCTCTCATGCTGTCTCTTGCTCTCTCATGTTGTCTGTCTCTCTCTCTCATGCTGTCTGTTGCTCTGTCATGCTGTCTGTCCCTCTCTCTCATGCTGTCTGTTCCTCTCTCATGCTGTCTGTCTTTCTGTCTCATGCTGTCTCTCTCTCTCTCTCTCTCTCTCCCATGCTGTCTGTCCCTCTCTCATGCTGTCTGTCTCTCTCTCTCTCATGCTGTCTGTCCCTCTCTCATGCTGTCTGTCTTTCTGTCTCATGCTGTCTGTCTCTCTCTCATGCTGTCTGTCCCTCTTTCATGCTGTCTGTCTTTCTGTCTCATGTTGTCTGTCTTTCTCTCTCATGCTGTCTGTTCCTCTCTCATGCTGTTTGTTCCTCTCTCACGCTGTCTGTCTTTCTGTCTCATGCTGTCTCTCTCTCTCATGCTGTCTGTCTTTCTGTCTCAAGCTGTCTGTTCCTCGCTCATGCTGTCTGTCATTCTGTCTCATGCTGTCTCTCTCTCTCTCATACTGTCTGTTCCTCTCTCATGCTGTCTGTTCCTCTCTCATGCTGTCTCTCTTTCTGTCTCATGCTGTCTCTCTCTCTCTCTCTCTCTCATGCTGTCTGTTCCTCTCTCATGCTGTCTGTTCCTCTCTCATGGTGTCTCTCTTTCTGTCTCATGCTGTCTCTCTCTCTCTCTCTCTCTCTCTCTCTCTCTCTCTCTCTCTCTCTCTCTCATGCTGTCTGTTCCTCTCTCATGCTGTCTGTTCCTCTCTCATGCTGTCTGTCTTTCTGTCTCATGCTATCTCTCTCTCTCTCTCTCTCTCTCTCTTTCTCCTGCTGTCTGTTCCTCTCTCATACTGTCTGTCTTTCTCTCTCATGCTGTCTGTTCCTCTCTCATGCTGTCTGTTCCTCTCTCATGCTGTCTGTTCCTCTCTCATGCTGTCTGTCTTTCTGTCTCATGCTGTCTCTTTCTCTCTCTCTCTCATGTTGTCTGTTCCTCTCTCATGCTGTCTGTCTTTCTGTCTCATGCTGTCTGTCTCTTTCATGCTCTCTCTCTATCTCTCTCCCTCTCTCTGTCTCTCTTTCTGTCTCTCTCTCTGTCTCCCTCTCTCACAAACATATCTTCAGGATAGTTAACCCTGCTTTTTCTTCCATCAGCTATGCCTTTTATCACCGTACTTGCTGAGCAACTGCATTGTTCCTAGTTCAATATAGTTAAGAGCAGAACTTTCCAAACTGTGTGTCACTACACATCAGTATGATGCATGCAGTGTGAAGGTGTGTCATGACACATCAGTATGGCCCATGTGATATGAAGGTGTGTCACCCAAATGTAATTTATGTCTGTGTCTGTATGTTTTATAAGAGATTAGTTTACCCTCTAGTTTGCCTGTACACTGAATTGCTGTTCCTCATACTGATTGTTCCCTGTGTGGGTTCCAGGACCCCACTGTGGGGAAAACAAGAATAGACCCACTGCCTACCCAACAAGCATGTCGTAGAAGTCAGCTAATTGGGAGCTTCCTTTGAAGTCAGAGTGCATCTGCCCGAGTGGCAAAGAACAACCAGCTGCACACAAATAAGTCAGTAAAACTGATGTACACAAAGAGCTAAAGTCCAAATAGACGAACAACCAGGACTTTCCACCCGGGCTTGCATCTGGTGAACAGAAGAGAGAGGGAAAAAAAATTTCTGTTTGTCTGAAAAGTGTGTCACCAGTATGAAGAGTTTGAAAAGCTCTGGTTTAAAGACATTAAAATGACTCATGCATGCGTTCCAGATATATTTTGCCTAATGATTTCAGATCACTCCCTCAGCCTAAAGAAACTATTGCCCAAATACCAGAAGAGAGTTCTAGCGAAAATATCCCCCAAGTTGCCTCTCAGTGTTACAGCCCTTCTTGTTGAAGATGAAGACTACTGGGAAAGGTGCTGTCGGGCACGCTGGAATATCTGTGATGTTTCAGTTTACGGAAACAGCTGGAAACGGATGTACATGGAGAAAAACTTGGAACAGATTATAGAACTTTTTGTGCCGCACACAACCGACTCCCAGGAATTGGATGATACAGTAAAACTGTCAGCAGAATTCATTAAAAAGCTGGACATACAGCAGCTTCTTCCACCAATCAAAGAGGCTCACAAGGGTCCAGATTTTGATGATCTTTCAGATTCAGGTGAGAATGAAGATGAACCGCTATGGGATCATTTTAATTTCGGCCCACTTTTGTCAAATTTGCCATTTTTGGAGGAACTGCATCTAACCTATGGTGTTCGTGACTGTGGGATGAACTTTGAGTGGAGTCTGTTTCAGTTTACCTCTAGGGATTGCTTGCTGCTGTCTCAGTGTGTGGCATCGTGCAAAACTCTCCGAGTCTTTCGTTTGCACAGAAGTAAAGTGGATGATGACAAGGTAAATGTAGGAACCTGTGTAGGTTTTGTGTTTTTACAATAAACAAGCCGGCAAGGGACCCTACTCACACCATTATTACATTCCAAGGGACCCTACTCACACAATTATTACATTGCAAGGGACCCTACTCACACCATTATTAAATTGCAAGGGATCCTGCTCAACCATTATTACATTGCAAGGGACCCTGCTCAACCCTTATTACATTGCAAGGGACCCCACTCACACCATTACTAAATTGCAAGGGACCCTGCTCAACCATTATTACATTGCAGGGGACCCTACTCACACAATTATTACATTGCAAGGGACCCTACTCACACCATTATTACATTGCAAGGGACCCTGCTCAACCATTATTACATTGCAAGGGACCCTGCTCAACCATTATTACATTGCAAGGGACCCTACTCACACCATTATTACATTGCAAGGGGCCCTAATCAAGCAATTATTACATTGCAAGGGACCCTGCTCAACCATTATTACATTGCAAGGGACCCTGCTCACGCAATTATTACATTGCAAGGGACCCTGCTCACACCATTATTAAATTGCAAGGGACCCTACTCACACAATTATTACATTGCAAGGGACCCTACTCACACAATTATTACATTGCAAGGGACCCTGCTCACACCATTATTACATTGCAAGGGGCCCTACTCACACCATTATTCAATTGCAAGGGACCCTACTCACACCATTATTAAATTGCAAGGGGCCCTACTCACACCATTATTAAATTCAAGGGACCCTACTCACACCATTATTAAATTGCAAGGGACCCTGCTCACACCATTATTAAATTGCAAGGGACCATACTTACACCATTATTACATTGCAAGGGACCCTACTCACACCATTATTAAATTGCAAAGGACCCTACTCACACCATTATTAAATTGCAAAGGACCCTACTCACACCATTATTAAATTGCAAGGGACCCTGCTCACACCATTATTAAATTGCAAGGGACCATACTCACACCATTATTACATTGCAAGGGACCCTACTCACACCATTATTAAATTGCAAAGGACCCTACTCACACCATTATTAAATTGCAAAGGACCCTACTCACACCATTATTAAATTGCAAGGGACCTTACTCACACCATTATTAAATTGCAAGGGACCTTACTCACACCATTATTAAATTGCAAGGGACCTTACTCACACCATTATTAAATTGCAAGGGACCCTACTCACACCATAATTAAATTGCAAGGGACCCTACTCACGCCATTATTAAATTGCAAGGGACCCTACTCACACCGTTATTACATTGCAAGGGACCCTACTCACACCATTATTACATTGCAAGGGACCCTACTCACACCATTATTAGATTAGACATATTGTTCTAGAGCCATATTCGTGTAGCTCATTTGGTGCTTTATTTAGTCATTCCAGCTGTGTGTACTTCTTGGGCATTTCTTGGTACTTATTTTAGCTGGTTCCACCTGGGTCCCCAATATCATGCAGATTCTTTTTTCACGTTCCATGCTGTACGCTGTGTCAGAAAGTTCTGGTTGTTCATTAGTTCTCACTATCAAGTAGACCCAGAGCGTTGAGTCGATGCTCAAAAGAAAACAAGAAATACATCAATTGTCCCAACTGAGTTTTTTTCTTTGTTCTTTTGAGTATCGACGCTACAGTCTGGGCCTACTTAAAAATTGATACTGTCCCGGGGAAAATGGGACGATAGGACCACCCTGTTGTTTATCCACTTCTAGACTTTAGTTCTAGAACTTGCATTTTGCATGCACATCTGTTTTACAGATCTAGCATATTTGTATGCAAATTGTTGGTTCCTTGCCTCTCAGGCAATGGAGCCATGGAACCCACATGTAGGAAAATAATACAGATTTAAACTCAAGACCAACATGCAGCAGGCAGGTGTTTAGCCACTACACCACTGTGGCTATCCATCATGTCTCAAGACAAATCCTACAGTCAGCAAACAGAGCTAGTACGTGTTTGTGCACGGTAATGTTTTGACTGATATAGTGTTTGTTTATCTTTGAATTAATGAATGAATAAATGTAGAATGTAACTATGTGACTCAGAAAAAAAGAGAACATGTACTGATATAAGCAAAACATTTAGACCAGTCTTTATATATGAAAAATAACACAATAAGAACAGATATATGCACACTTAAATTAATATAACACAATCACATGGGAAAAATTGACACAATCATACTAGGAAATGACACTATCACTTGGGAAAGTATGACACAATCACATAAGAAAGTATAACACAATCACATAGGAACTATAACACAATCATATGGAAAAATATAACACAGGAAAGTATAACATAATCACATGGAAAAGTATAATACAGTCATATAGGAAAGCATAACACAGTCGTATAGGAAAGTATAACACAATCACATAGGAAACTATAACACAATCACGCAGGAAAGAATAACCCAATCACATAAGAAAGTATAACAGTCACATGGGAAAGTATGACACAATCATACTAGAAAGTATGACACAGTCACACGGGAAAGTATGACACAATCATACTAGAAAGTATGACACAGTCACATGGGAAAGTATGACACAATCATACTAGAAAGTATGACACAGTCACATGGGAAAGTAAGACACAATCATACTAGAAAGTATGACACAGTCACATGGGAAAGTATGACACAATCATACTAGAAAGTATGACACAGTCACATGGGAAAGTATGACACAATCATACTAGAAAGTATGACACAGTCACATGGGAAAGTATGACACAATCATACTAGAAAGTATGACACAGTCACATGGGAAAGTAAGACACAATCATACTAGAAAGTATGACACAGTCACATGGGAAAGTATGACACAATCATACTAGAAAGTATGACACAGTCACATGGGAAAGTAAGACACTGTTATATAAAAAGCTATAATGCATTTACACAGAACAATACCAGACAATCATATTAAAAAAGTATGACACAATGACACAGAAAAATATGACACAATGACACAGAAAAATATGACACACCACACAGAAAAATATGACACAATGACACAGAAAAATATGACACAATGACACAGAAAAATATGACACACCACACAGAAAAATATGACACAATGACACAGAAAAATATGACACACCACACAGAAAAATATGACACACCACACAGAAAAATATGACACACCACACAGAAAAATATGACACACCACACAGAAAAATATGACACACCACACAGAAAAATATGACACACCACACAGAAAAATATGACACACCACACAGAAAAATATGACACAATGACACAGAAAAATATGACACAATGACACAGAAAAATATGACACACCACACAGAAAAATATGACACACCACACAGAAAAATATGACACACCACACAGAAAAATATGACACACCACACAGAAAAATATGACACAATGACACAGAAAAATATGACACACCACACAGAAAAATATGACACACCACACAGAAAAATATGACACAATGACACAGAAAAATATGACACACCACACAGAAAAATATGACACAATGACACAGAAAAATATGACACAATGACACAGAAAAATATGACACAATGACACAGAAAAATATGACACACCACACAGAAAAATATGACACAATGACACAGAAAAAATATGACACCACCACAAGAAAAATATGACACACACAGAAAATATGACACACCACACAGAAAAATATGACACACAATGACACAGAAAAATATGACACAATGACACAGAAAAATATGACACACCACACAGAAAAATATGACACAATGACACAGAAAAAAATATGACACAATGACACAGAAAAAAATATGACACACCACACAGAAAAAAATATGACACACCACACAGAAAACATGAGAAAAAACAGATTACACACCACACAGAAAAATATGACACACCACACACAGAACAAATATGACACAGAAAAAAATGACAATGACACAGAAAAATATGACACACCACACAGAAAAATATGACACACCACACAGAAAAATATGACACACCACACAGAAAAAATATGACACACCACACAGAAAAAATATGACACATGACACACAGAAAAATATGACACACCACCACACAGAAAAAAAATATGACACAACCACACAGAAAAATATGACAGAAAAAATGACCACACACAAAAATATATGACACACCACACAGAAAAATATGACACACCACACAGAAAAATATGACACACCACACAGAAAAATATGACACACCACACAGAAAAATATGACACAATGACACAGAAAAATATGACACACCACACAGAAAAATATGACACAATGACACAGAAAAATATGACACACCACACAGAAAAATATGACACACACAATATGACACAGAAAAATATGACACACACACACAGAAAAATATGACACACCACACAGAAAAAACATAAAAATATGACACAACACACACAGAAAAATATGACACACCACACAAAAATATGACACACCACACAGAAAAAATATGACACACACCACACAGAAAAATATGACACACCACACAGAAAAATATGACACACCACACAGAAAAATATGACACACAACACAGAAAAATATGACACACACCACACAGAAAAATATGACACACACACACATGACACAACACAGAAAACACATGACACACCACACAGAAAAATATGACACAGAATATGACCACACACAGAAAAATATGACACAACCACACAGAAAAATATGACACAACCACACAGAAAAATATGACACACCACACAGAAAAATATGACACACACCCACACAGAAAAATATGACACACACCACACAGAAAAATATGACACAATGACACACACACAGAAAAATATGACACAACACAGAGAAATATGACAAATGACACAGAAAATATGACACACCACACAGAAAAATATGACACAACAGAAAAATATGACACAGAAAAAATGACATGACCACAGAAAAATATTGACAATACCACACAGAAAAATATGACACACACCACACAGAAAAAATATGACACACAGAAAAAATGACACAACACAGAAAAATATGACACACCACACAGAAAAATATGACACACCACACAGAAAAATATGACACACCACACAGAAAAATATGACACAACACAGAAAAATATGACACATAACACAGAAAAAGGTGACATTGTCATACAGAAAAGTATGATGTGTTCACACAGAAAAGTATGACATAGTCATTCAGAAAAGAAACAGTATGATGAAATGAACATCATAAAAAGTTTTTAATTATAACCTTTTTGTTATTAATATTTTAATATATCTTTGCTATTTTTTCCTTAGATTTTTTCTGTTATTCATTTATCTAATAATAATTGTTAAACTCTTCAAGGTTCGAGTCCTGATTAGTTCCATCCTAGACCATCCAAGTCTGGAGGTACTTGATCTATCTCACAACATTATTAGCGACAGGGGAGCTCGTGCCATCGGGAAGTTTCTGACCAATCACTCAAGGCTGACTAGGCTTAACCTCTGCGATAATCAGATCCGAGTTATGGGCGCTCAAGCCATTGGCCACGCTTTGACAAAGAACAGTTTACTTGTGGTATGTTTGCAAATGTGTATTCAATTACTGTGGTACATCAGTATACTTCCGCTTTTTGATAAGTCCAACCTTTCTATACGACTTGTGAAGACACGAACAATTGTGCTTGGTATATGACCTTTGTCTGAAAAAGGAATTGCATCCTAGACTTGTACACCAGTTAAAACCATATAAAGTATGATTTTCTAGGTTAATTTTTTGGCAACATTTTTTGGCAAATTCATTAACTGTGAGTTCTAAGAAAGTTGATTAAAAGTGTAAAGCAATGTAGACAAAGGTAAGAATCACCATGGAGGTTAAAAACAGATTTTTGAAAAGTATGAAGGTGGCATGCGATGTGCCACTAACAATAGGATTTTATTAATGGAACGAATTAATCATTATCCTTTTATTTTTTAATGGATAAAATGTGTTGGTATACGTCCTGTTTAGTATAAGTCCAAGGATCAGGAATGGATTAAGGACATACACTGAGGTACTGCTGTATCTTGAATGTTATTATCACTGACTGCGTAATAATCATCATTATCACCGCCAACTAGATGTCAGTTTCATAAGCTCCAGGCATTGGTCTTGCTGTCAGCAGCAATGTTTTATGTGGATGTTTATACAGTGCAGACTGCTTGAGGCGATCTCGGATTTGGTGAAACTCTGTTGTGATGAACAGTTTGTTTACCCCCTGCTATCTGGATAAGAGGGATCATTTCTTAGGTCCCAGGTGATTTCTCCTTATCAAGTCTGCACTCTGGCATAAGGGATAGTGAATGTGTTAAACAGTTTATGATCTCAGAGTACTAATGTTTTATTTCCGCAGCAAACGATTAAAAATAAAAAAAAAGCTTGTGTTTTTCAGACAGCAGTATGATAGTTGTGGAAGAATTGGGGCCTCAGCACCTAATAATCCCATAAACAACCAGTAGTTATATTTTAGTTGACCTTCATTGTGGAGACGGCACATATTTTTTTTTGCTTTTTTATTATGCTTCTACTTTTCTCAACCACAGACGCTGCAAAACCAACACTTCTGGTTGATCCACATCCCTTTAAATGTCATTTCTCTGACTAGTCTCTACGAGATGCATAGTTCATTCTGTTGGCTATTTTTACACCTGTGAAAACATTTAGGAGGTCAGGATATGAATACATTAACTACAAATTGCATTTAGGGGGTTTTCTTTGAGCCAGATAGCTTTTTTAAAGCCAAGTTTACGTCACATTTTCCCACAAGCCTCAATGATAGAGGTCATGGGGTCACAGCATGAGTTACTCCATACACATGTTGTTTTAAGCCCCGAGGAATGTTTTCTATTTAATGCTTCGCCTGGTTCCTGTTCTTTTTTAAATTTTTTCCTTTATATATTGTTATATATTTAAAGAAAGAAAGAAAGAAAGATAGAAATTGTAGATAAATAAATGTTTTATGAATTTATTAGTGACCTGTGTAAACGTTGTTTTTTTTAAAGGTTTTTTTTTTTTTTGGAATTCTGACGGCTCTTGACCTATTTTTTTTTAGTGTTTTGAGGGCAAGAGGTTTAAATAAAAAGGACACATACAACAATATTTCCCACTAATTATTGCCGGGAATATTTCTTTGTCTCTCATCAGATGATCACTACAGAAATTACATTGATATGTAACACACAAGGCAGAACTAAATGTGAACTTTTTCACTGAAATATAAAACAACAACATATGTCAGCCAATATATTGTGTCCTTATTTTTAAATTAATAAAGGGAAAAACATAATTATTACTGTTATACTTCTTCAAAGAGACAAACACTGTTCTTTGGCCACATAATGAGAAGAAAGACATTGGAGAACATCGTGACAACTAGAAAGATCAGTGGAAAAAGGGGTTGAGGCAGACCAAGAGAGATGATGCTGGATTGGCTGAAACGATGGCATGAGGGATATCATCAAGAGAGCTGTTCCAGGCAACCTGGTATCATGATCTGTGGAGACGCATAAGCCAGTTGGCAGGGCACATGGTGATGATGATGATATTTCTTCTGTGTTCACCCTTAAAAGGGTTGTGGTTTACAGCTAGGATATGATATCTGCACCTCTCGTCCCAGCACATTCGGAAAAAAAAGGACCCCAGAACTCCCACAGGAAATTAATATTATAATGATTTTAAAATGCTTGATGAAACCATGCAATTAACTCTTTGTGGTGAGGACTATAATTTGAAAGATGTATGTATTTCGTAAAGAAGATATTATAAAATACTTTTAACCAGATCTTTTGTGTGTTTTTAGTGTCTGAATCTTCGGCTGAATCGACTGGGAGATGAAGGAGGCCAAGCCATCTGCAAGGCTCTTCTAAAGAACAGATCCATCAGGGAACTGCATCTTGGTTCCAATGATCTTGCAGAGCCATCTGCGCATATTTTGTCACAAGTTATGCTCTGTAATAATGTCCTGAGAAAACTTGACCTGTCCTGCAATCGTCTTGGCCCAGTGAGTATCTTTGTACTTAGTGTCCATTGAATCTTCACACATCTTTAAGTGAGAAAAATGTAAAGGACCCCTTTTCACGTCTTGAAACCTATTGAGCATTTGGGGTTGTCCTAAATTTGATAGACCTGTCAACACTTGGTTAAGGCTGGATCAACCTGGGAGCCAAACCAATTTTTGAAGAATATCTGATTCTGTCAGGATCTCAACCCACAACCTTCAGATTTGCAGGCAAGGGTCCAGCCGCTACACCACAATAGCTCACTTGCACAGCTTTAGAGGGTTACAGGACCCCATTATGGGGTGTGGGGGGGGGGGGAGGGGGATAGACCTAGTGCCTCGCTTACATGCAAGTCATAAGAGTCAGGGGTTCCTTCAGAGTCAGAGTGCATCTGAGGCGAGAGGTGAGGAACCTAAGGTTTGCATACAAAAAAGCCAGATATGTAAAATGTATGTGCACACAAAAAGCCAGATATGTAAAATGTATGTGCACACAAAAAATCCAGATATGTAAAATGTATGTGCACACAAAAAAGCCAGATATGTAAAATGTATGTGCGCACAAAAAAGCCAGATATGTAAAATGTATGTGCACACAAAAAAGCCAGATATGTAAAATGAATGTGCACACAAAAAAGCCAGATATGTAAAATGAATGCACACAAAACTCAAATTCTGAAACAAGACGCAAGACCAGAAGGTTACAGCCAGTGAACTGGAAGAAGAAGACAATTACATCTTGCTTTATGCATCCAGTTTGTTACATCTTGCTTTATGCATCCAGTTTGTTACATCTTGGTTTATGCATCCAGTTTGTTGTATCTTGCTTTATGCATCCAGTTTGTTACATCTTGCTTTATGCATCCAGTTTGTTATATCTTGCTTTATGCATCCGGTTTGTTGCATCTTGCTTTATGCATCAAGTTTGTTGCATCTTGCTTTATGCATCCAGTTTGTTGCATCTTGCTTTATGCATCCAGTTTGTTACATCTTGCTTTATGCATCCAGTTTGTTATATCTTGCTTTATGCATCCGGTTTGTTGCATCTTGCTTTATGCATCAAGTTTGTTGCATCTTGCTTTATGCATCCAGTTTGTTACATCTTGCTTTATGCATCCAGTTTGTTACATCTTGCTTTATGCATCCAGTTTGTTACATCTTGCTTTATGCATCCAGTTTGTTATATCTTGCTTTATGCATCCGGTTTGTTGCATCTTGCTTTATGCATCAAGTTTGTTGCATCTTGCTTTATGCATCCAGTTTGTTACATCTTGCATTATGCATCCAGTTTGTTACATCTTGCTTTATGCATCCAGTTTGTTACCTCTTGCTTTATGCATCCAGTTTGTTATATCTTGCTTTAAGCATCCAGTTTGTTGTATCTTTCTTTATGCATCCAGTTTGTTGCATCTTGGTTTATGCATCCAGTTTGTTACATCTTGCTTTATGCATCCAGTTTGTTGTATCTTGCTTTATGCATCCAGTTTGTTGCATCTTGCTTTATGCATCCAGTTTGTTACATCTTGCTTTATGCATCCAGTTTGTTACATCTTGCTTTATGCATCCAGTTTGTTACATCTTGCTTTATGCATCCAGTTTGTTACATCTTGCTTTATGCATCCAGTTTGTTGCATCTTGCTTTATGCATCCAGTTTGTTATTTCTTGCTTTATGCATCTGGTTTGTTGCGTCTTGCTTTATGCATCTGGTTTGTTGCATCTTGCTTTATGCATCCAGTTTGTTGCATCTTGCTTTATGCATCCAGTTTGTTACATCTTGCTTTATGCATCCAGTTTGTTACATCTTGCTTTATGCATCCAGTTTGTTACATCTTGCTTTATGCATCCAGTTTGTTACATCTTGCTTTATGCATCCAGTTTGTTGCATCTTGCTTTATGCATCCAGTTTGTTGCATCTTGCTTTATGCATCCAGTTTGTTACATCTTGCTTTATGCATCCAGTTTGTTACATCTTGCTTTATGCATCCAGTTTGTTACATCTTGCTTTATGCATCCAGTTTGTTACATCTTGCTTTATGCATCCAGTTTGTTGCACCTTGCTTTATGCATCCAGTTTGTTACATCTTGCTTTATGCATCCAGTTTGTTGCACCTTGCTTTATGCATCCAGTTGTTACATCTTGCTTTATGCACCAGTAATTAGGTTTATTACACTGCATGTAAACTTATGTTTATTTTGTTTGGCTAGGATGGAGGCAAGCAGATCCAAGAAGGCATGGAAGCAAACAAGACTATCATCCACCTCGATCTGAGGCTGACAGAGTGCGGACAGGAAGCAGAATATTGCGTCTGTCAGATTCTCCACCGTAATCAAGAAACAGACCGCATGGAACGCATAATTAATAGTGAAGCAGTGAATTCTCAGTATCGTAAAACAAAATTTGAACCCCAGTCTACTCATCGCTATCGACTACCCCCAACAGCAATAATTATTTAGTTTTTTTTAAAAACTTCAATCCTTGTTGTTTGCTGTCTCATTAGTATATATTGCATCTATGCTATTCTCTTTCTGTAGTAATACTCATGATGAATTGCTCATTTCTTTCTTTAGTGAACAATTCACATAAGTACTGCTCATTTCTTACTTTAGTGAACAATTCAACATGAGTATTGTTGATTTCTTACTTTAGTGAGCAATTCAACATCAGCATTGTTTACTTTTTACTGTAGTGAGCAATTCAACATGAGTACTGCTCATTTCTTTCTGAAGTGAACAATTCAACACGAGTATTGCTGATTTCTTACTTTAGTGAGCAATTCAACATGAATATTGCTGATTTCTTACTGTAGTGAGCAATTCAACATGAGTATTGCTAATTTCTTACTGTAGTGAACAATTCAACACGAGTATTGCTAATTTCTTACTGCAGGTGGCATGGGAAAATCAAGAAACACCATCAGATTGGCAAACTGCTGTCATTGTCCCGCTGTGGAAAAATAAAGGAAGTAAGAGGGAATGTACTAATTACAGAGGAATATCACTTCTCAGTCACACTGGGAAAATGTATGCTAAGATCATCGAAAAAAGGCTGAGACCATTGATAGAGTATCAACTTTCAGAAGCACAGATGGGCTTTCGACGAAACAGAAGTTGCACAGATGCCATTTATACATTGAGACAACTATCAGAGAGGGCAATAGAACATGATAAGACATGTTTGTTGACATTCATAGACCAAGAAAAAGCCTTCGATAGAGTCGACAGGAATATGTTGTGGGAATGTATGGGGAAAAAAGGAATCAGCAATCATCTCATTAATATTTGCAAAAGCCTGTACACACGTAGTGAATGCTGCATAAGATCAAAGGCAGGGTTGTCTAGAACTTTTATGGTGAACTCTGGTGTGCGTCAGGGCTGTGTACTATCGCCGCTTCTTTTCATAACATACATGGACGCCATATGTAGCGAAACAGACTTTAATCAGGAAGAAGATATAACAGAATTACTTTTCGCCGACGACCAGGTACTAATAGCAGAAAATATGGAATGCCTACAGAACCACCTAAATCAAATTAGTAACAAAGGGGAGGAATATAATATGAAAATAAACACTACGAAGACAGAGACAATGATGATAGGAAGACATAAAGACAATTTAGAAATTAAATTAAAAAACAACACCCTGAGACAAACAGAGGAATTTTAGTATTTGGGAGCAATTTTTACTTCAGACGGAAAACTGGACAGAGAAATTAGCTCCAGATGTGCCAAAGCTAATCAAGTAATGGGCCAACTATCTCCCCTGTTGACACACAAGCAGATACCTCAGAGTACTAAAGTGAATCTTATCAGAACTATTTTTTGGCCAATACTATGCTATCAGTGCCAAACGTGGACACTTACATCCTCCAATGAACGTAAAATTGTGACAACAGAGATGAAATGCCTTAGAAGAGCTGCAGGAGTTTCAAGGAAAGACAGAATACAAAATCATGAAATCAGACGAATGCTAGGAATAAAGCCAGTCTTACAGGTCATCAAAGAACAACAAATGAAATGGTTTGGACACCTAACAAGAATGCCCTGGTACTATCTGCCACAGCGAGCCACACTAAAACGTTACAACGGGTATAAAGCGAGTGGAAGACCTCGGAAAAGATGGAGTGATGGCATTAAGAACAGCCTTACAGAAATGAACATCAGTCTTAATAGTGCTCTTGACAGAGCTCATCAACGAACATTACATCTCCCCCCGACACTTCGATGAGGTACAAGGTGGAAGAGAAGAAGAAGAAGAAGAAGAAGAAGTGAGCAATTCAACATGAGTATTGCTAATTTCTTACTGTAGTGAGCAATTCAACATGAGTACTGCTCATTTCTTACTGTAGTGAGCAATTCAACATGAGTATTGCTGATTTCTTACTGTAGTGAGCAGTTCAACATGAGTATTGCTCATTTCTTACTGTAGTGAACAATTCAACATGAGTATTGCTCATTTCTTACTTTAGTGAGCAATTCAACATGAGTATTGCTCATTTCTTACTTTAGTGAGCAATTCAACATGAGTATTGCTCATTTCTTCCTTAAGTAAACAATTCAACATGAGTATTGCTGATTTCTTACTGTAGTGAGCAATTCAACATGAGTATTGCTCATTTTTTACTGTAGTGAACAATTCAACACGAGTATTGCTCATTTCTTACTGTAGTGAGCAATTCAATATGAGTATTGCTCATTTCTTACTTTAGTGAGCAATTCAACATTAGTATTGCTAATTTCTTACTGTAGTGAGCAATTCAACATGAGTACTGCTCATTTCTTTCTGAAGTGAACAATCAACACGAGTATTGCTGATTTCTTACTTTAGTGAGCAATTCAACATGAGTATTGCTCATTTTTTACTGTAGTGAACAATTCAACACGAGTATTGCTGATTTCTTACTTTAGTGAGCAATTCAACATGAGTATTGCTCATTTCTTACTGTAGTGAACAATTCAATATGAGTATTGCTCATTTCTTACTTTAGTGAGCAATTTAACATGAGTATTGCTGATTTCTTACTTTAGTGAACAATTCAACATGAGTATTGCTAATTTCTTACTTTAGTGAGCAATTCAACATGAGTATTGCTGATTTCTTACTTTAGGGAGCAATTCAACATGAGTATTGCTCATTTCTTACTTTAGTGAGCAATTTAACATGAGTATTGCTGATTTCTTACTTAAGTGAACAATTTAACACGAGTATTGCTCATTTCTTACTTTAGTGAGCAATTCAACATGAGTATTGCTCATTTCTTACTGTAGTGAGCAATTCAACATGAGTATTGCTGATTTCTTACCGTAGTGAGCAATTCAACATGAGTATTGCTCATTTCTTACTGTAGTGAACAATTCAACATGAGTATTGCTCATTTCTTACTGTAGTGAGCAATTCAACATGAGTATTGCTAATTTCTTACCGTAGTGAGCAATTCAACATGAGTATTGCTCATTTCTTTCATTCAACACCAGTTGATTCTCCATGTTGGTTCTAAGGCCCCATTGAACTGATTTGCAAAAGGTGATTAATTAGGGGTGTTTTCTTTGAAGTGGTCAGCTCTGCGGCTAAGTCGATGCGAACACTTCGTAATGCTGGGGTGCCGGGTTTGATCCCAGCTTCAGGTAATGCACCTTGCATTGGTTCCGACTGTGGTATCAGTGGACCGACCGTCCAGGAAGCAATGGCAAACTAATGGATGTAAATTTGCCTAGAGAAACCACACAACAGCCAGGAGCTGCTGGGGTTGGTTCTCCAACTTCCTGTAAAAGGATATGCAACTAACCTAACCTTTGAAGTCGGAGTGCATCTGCCTGAGAGATAAGGAACCAACAGTCTGTACACAAATAAGCCAGATCTCTAGAATGGAAATGCATACAAAACTCCATTTCTAGAACAAGACCAAAGTGCAGATGTGGACAAACAGCCAGAACATTCAACCGGAGTTTACAGCCAATCAGTAGAAGAAGAAGAAGATGATGATGATGAACGTGTATTGTTCAGTCAGGTCTTTCTGTACCTAGTAATTGTTTATCCGTTGATCATTCAGTCCTTGTGAAAGTAAAATTTTTGAAAAACTCTGGTTAGCCAGATAGTGGAGCATTTAAAGCTAATCAGAGAAGAGCATTTTATGCAACAATCATCCTTATGATAATCGCAACAGCTGTTGTCTATGATGGCAGTAATTAGTGGTGATTGGTGATTTAACTCTTTGAGTCCCAGGGGGTTTAGCATCAGAGGCCCAAGAGGTAGTCAAAAAAGATGTAAAATCTGCGCATCTTGCGTTCATTGGGCCTCTAGGCGGGAACCTATGAACGTATGATGCGTTCCTTGGAACTCAAAGAGATTATGAATTTTGTTGTTGCTATTCACTCTTCTTTATCCACTGTTTATGTCTTTGATGCATCGTAAGACTGTTCTCAAAAGCTTTTGAAAATAATAGTTTAAACTGTATATATGTACATGGTGAGCAAATAAATATTAATGCAAACAGAGGAATTGAAATGTTAAAACTATTTACTGTAGGATTGTTGTGTTGTGTTCTAACAGGGCTGTAGAACTTCACACCAGTCAGAGAGAGAGAGAGATATAAATATATATACATACCGATATACAATCAGTGGTAGCAAGCCTAGGACAATAGAAGATATGCTAAGACAAACAGCTGTAGAAAACTACAGGGAAGGATTATACAGAGAACTATAGGGAAATATTAGGATTATACAGAGAACTATAGGGAAGGATTATACAGAAAACTATAGGGAAGGATTAAACAGAGAACTATAGGAAAGGATTATACAGAGAACTATAGGGAAGGATTATACAGAGAACTATAGGGCAGGATTATACAGAGAACTATAGGGAAGGATTATACAGAGAACTATAGGGAAGGATTATACAGCACAAAGCAAGAACAAAGAAATTGCAAAGCAGATATTAATAATACACAAAACAAAGTAATATCTTAATTAAATGTCTAAAAGATGAATTATACATTTGATTATCACAATTATTTCAAAAGGTTCACTTAAAATAAATTAAACTTTACAATCCATATTGCTACAGTTTGTTACTATTAGGACATGTTATGCTATCACAATCACCGCTGTCCACAAGCTGTGAACACAGGTTTTACCTAAACTACTCACCAGCAACTTCTAAGTCACAGAGACAATCCACTGAAAAAAAAAATTAATCAAGTATGTCTCTTTTGTTTTTTGGCCACTTTGTTATGGAAAATTGCTGTTGCCGATATCAAGGCTCACTGGTAGGGTGGAAAATCTGTGTGTCCCTTGCCTGGTTTGATTGGATTGTCTAGTTCATCTGGATCACCCAGCCTGGTTTGACTGGTTCAGCTGTTTGACCAGATGGCCTGATTCGACCGGATCACCTGGTTTAAACTTGTCTTGGCTCACTCTTTGTCTCTCCGACACCCTGAGCTTGTAGATTTAAACAT